CATGAAAGATATCATAAGTGCAAAACATTTATTGACATGTGAATAAAACTGTAATACAATTGTATTGATATTTTAATAGTTTGTTTTCTTTATTATGCCCCTTCTCAGAGAAAAGGGGATATACTTTATCCCAAATGTCTGTCAGTCGGCCAGTAGACCACTGCCTCTGCTCACTAACTACTCTCCTGCGCATCGGTCGAATGTTCCACTATCGCTCAATTGTCTGAAGTAACGTGAGTGTATTCAGTGAGCTGCGAAGGGAGCGTACTCACTAACTAGAGAATCATTTGATCACAGCCTTTAAACTTTATTGGATGATCTCCCTCATTGTGTAGAATACCCCTATTGTTTATGGAGGCCAATGCATGAAGGTCAAGGTCACAATGACCTTTCAATGGTTTCTGCTCAATAAATACCGTATAGAATCAGTTGACCCACACCACAGCCTTTAAACTTTATAGGATCATCACCTGCTTTGAGTAAAAGACCATATTTGTTTTTTTTTGGTGCAGGTGCATGAAGGTCAAGGCCACGGTGACTTTGAATGTGTAAACCATCACTTGTTTCCCAATAATGTGAGAACAATAGGACAATAGAACCATGGCCTTCAAACTTTATAGGATCATGTCATTGAGTAAAACACCCTTATTGTTTGTTTCTTTGCATTAATATGTTAAGTCTGAGGCAATAGTGGCATTGACTTTAAAAACCGTTTCAAAGTAGAGAACCAACCCTTAGCCTTGCTATAAATAATATTCATACTCATTGATTAGAAAAGCCCTGTTGCATAAAGGTCAAGGTCACAGCAACCCTGAATGTTTAACTGTTTGTGTACATATTTTAAACATCTGAGGAAGAAATGTCTATCAATGATGTGCTGTGGTAGTTACTATCTATCTATCTATCTATCTATCTATCTATCTATCTATCTATCTATCTATCTATCTATCTATCTATCTATATATATATATATATATATATATATATATATATATAGAGAGAGAGAGAGAGAGAGAGAGAGAGAGAGAGAGAGAGAGAGAGAGAGAGAGAGAGAGAGAGAGAGAGAGAGATAGTAATTACATTCAGCACATCATTGGGTAATTAATGGTTGTTAGTTGCCTGTTCACATTTAAACCATTAACAAGAGAGACTCGTGCAACATTTTACAGCTTTAACCGGGCAATCATGTTAAAATGATTAAATTTGGTTTTGTTGTCATTAGTTATGATGTTATGCAGTATCACATGACCCATACAATAGCAAAGTGTAAGAAAAGCATGTATTGTATGTGTGATATCAAATTCAGTTGCCAGACCTCAACCCTTGCCAAAAACGTATGACATGCCAATAAATTCCAGTTGAAAAGCACACACTCTTGTGGACCGCAAGGTCTTAAAATATAAATTTGTGATCTTAGAAATAGATAATAGTGTTTCACTAGGTCAAAGGCAAAACTTGAACAAGCAAATGAAAGTAATAGCCGTTGGATATTAGATAAAAGTCGCATCTGTGCGCATGAATTTTAACTAATTTCAGTTTCCGTTAAAAGTGTATTTAAATATGAATAAATTGCTGTTATTTCCTGGATTTTCAGTAACTTTCGTCTGTATTTACAATAGTTGCAATAATTTGTACTAAATTGATACAAAAATATTTGTGAAATGGATGAAAACTTTGTATATAAACAAAAATGTATTTTTTCAAGGGGTGTAAAGGTAATTATGGATGGCACTGTATACTGTAACACGTCCAGCAAGGTGAAGCACATGAAGCACTTTTTTAGGCCTGATGAAGATGTTTTGTATTTTATAGAGAGGTATGAACAAAATGATTTTAATATAATGTTTCATGAATTGAATGTCCCTATTACTGAACAGTGCTTACTTAAAGCAATTCGTCAACTGCAGACAAATAGAAGTAGTGGTCCGGATAAATACCTTAACGAATTCTTTATTAATGGTAAACATGTTTTAATGCCATTTTTGTTAAACTTGTTTAACAAAATATTTGAAGTAGGATACTTCCCAGAAAGTTGGTCTGAAGGATTTGTAATACCCCTACATAAAAAAGGCAATATTAATGATGAAAATAACTATAGAGGAATTACATTATTGAGTACATTAGGTAAATTATTTTCACGTGTTTTAAATAATTGGCGTCCGCGCCGAAGCGCGGCGCTCTTATGGAATGAGATCAGATTTTGTGAAAGGGCGACAGCAACTTCTCGAGCCTTTTAGTCGGTCATAATAAAAGCCGAAAATTCCGATCGGTATGAGGGTGCTTGATTATTAAATAAGAATGAAATGTCGCGATATGTTACAATGAATTTTCGCAATGCAAACATTTACAAATGAAATAACCTTTTCCGTCAATAAATCGCGCTCTTCGGGGTTTTTTATTTATCATTTTGTAGTACACAGTCGGTTATCATGTCATGGCATGTTATTGTTGTACATGTATCCTAGAATGATCAGTTGATGACCTAAATATTCCAAAAACCTATTTATAGATATATCTTTTTATCACTCCTATCGGTAAATGCCGGTCTCTCCCGGTCTATTTTGACCAGGATTTACTAGTGACCGGCGAATAGTACCACACGTTTATTGTCCGGTCTCTCCCGGTTTTGGAGTAGATGTTTGATATCGTTACAATTAGAAAAAAAACAACAATAGCATGTTTCATTTTATCTATATGAGATAAAAACAATAAATATGTACACGGATTTATATGTAATATAAATCCGTGATATGTACAATAATTGAGAAAAAGGTACATTTTTATGGTATTAAAATGACATTATCAACTTTGAAACATTTTATTTAATTATTCAATTTGTTATCCGTGTTTAGTAAAGATGCCGAGGAATTATTCAAAGTTACAAATTAGATTTTATGAATTATTCAATTGATCGATAATTTAAAAAATGATAAAGAAAAATACAATGTACATGTACATGGTTTAAGAATAAACAATATTATATATTGAAAGATAAACCATAATTTACTGACTTTTTCCAGTTAAGCTTTGACTTATAATCGTCGGTCAATATGACAATTGAATTCTTAAAATTTATTTTACAATTTTAATAAAAAAGAGTAGTAAAAACTCAGTATTAAAATAGCACATAAAACACAAAAAAGAATAAAAGAAAACTATATTCATAAAATTTGTATTTTTTTAAAATTAAAATTAATAGATATTACAATTATTGTATAATAAACAATTATGCTCAACATGATCAACATGGTAATATAACCAGTGTCATATTTTTACTAACTTAAAGTGTGAACAGATACCTTAAGGGGGTCTTCGCTAATAGCGATAACATGTACATAATAAGGGACAAATGTGTGGTACGTGTTGATCATGCGTTACACATATGGATTATAAATGATTGCATACATGTATATCCGTTGCTATTAATAACCACGATCATAAAGAAATAACAAGTAATATTCTAATCTCTAGCATGCCAATCAAAGTTCATAATGAACAATGTCTTTCGTCCGCTCATTCATAAGTGGTATACATTTCTGGTAGTTTATAAGAATATCTTGTCATCATATGTGTACTAGTTCATCTTCACTTGCTGAATTTCTTGCTTGGACGCCCTTTGATGCTTTGCATCAATGCTTTTCTTGTAGACTGGTAGAATGGGCAGAAAATTATGGTGTATATATTGAGGCCCAGTCAGGTTTCAGACAAAAAAAATGGGCACGGTAGATAATATATTTGATTTGCATGGTTTGATTTCTCATGTGATTAATAACGGTAAAAAATTATATTGTGCTTTTATTGATTTTAGTAAAGCCTTTGATTATGTTGTAAGAGACAACTTATGGCTGAAATTAATACAATTAGGCGTCCGTGGCAAAATGTTGAATATTATAAGATCTATGTACAACTCAGTTAAATCTAAAGTAAAATATTGTAACTCTTTAAGTGAACCATTTAATTGTACTTTAGGGGTACGTCAGGGTGAATGTTTATCACCTTTTTTATTTGCTATGTTTTTACATGATATTGAAGACATGTATATACATAGTGGTATGCAAGGTATTGATGTCAATATGTTTAAAATTTTTCTTATTTTATATGCGGATGATATTGTTTTATTTGCAAACACTGAAAATGAATTACAGAATAGTCTAGATATGTTATATGAATATTGTAATAAGTGGAAATTAATTGTTAACACTGATAAAACTAAAATTATGATTTTTCGTAAAGGCGGCCGATTGTCTACTGATACTATGTTTTTATTATAATAACCGTCCTGTCGAAGTTGTCAATAAATTTACATACTTAGGTATTGTATTCACTACTGGAGGTTCTTTTTCTGAAGCACAAAACACACTTTCGGGTCAAGCACAAAAGGCTATATTTAAAATGAACAAGTACTTATATAAATTTACAAATATCTCTGTGCAACATAGATTAGAACTTTTTGATAAATTAGTATTACCAATCTTGAATTATAGCAGTGAAGTGTGGGGTTTTATGCACGGTAATGCTATAGAAAGAACTCATTTATCATTTTGTAAACAGTTACTTGGAGTTAAAAAATCAACACAAAATGATTTCATATACGGTGAACTGGGCAGACTTTCACTTCAGTCATTACGTTATTTCAACATTGTTAAATATTGGATAAAAATTATATGTACAAATGTGTAACAGTATTTGATTTACATACTAAGTACAGACCTTCCCATGATGCTTTAGTTATAATGTTAACTGCGCATGCTTAGTAAATATACGTAGTCTGCTCTATGTATTAGCTCTGTATGAATGAGTTGTGACTAGCTTAATAAAATATATAAACGCACGTTTGTGTTCTTACCTGCACCAAGAAACATGGTGTCAGAAGTATAAGACTGCTCATATACGCAAAAAGGACTAAATGCGACCCTTAAAGCATAATTCGTATAGTGGTGGATTTATTAATCTTTTAATTTACGTGCAAAAGTTTAATATTTGAACATATCAGCACAATTATGAGTGCCGATGAACAGGCCGAGCCGCCATCACCCGCTGCACACCCTTCAAATGCTGTGCCGTCGTTGATTCCATTCCCGCAGAAATTGGATTTAGACGGACATGTATCAACAAACTGGAAAAAATTCAGACGTGGCTGGATTAATTATGAGAAGGCGTCTGGACTTAATTTGAAACCAAAGGATCTGAGAGCAGCAACATTTTTAACATGCATAGGGTCAGAAGCAATGGATATATTCGACGGGTTTGACTTTGCAAATGAAACAGACAAGGATGATATCGACATTGTCATCGATAAATTCGAAACGTTCTGTGTTGGCAAAACCAACGTGACATTCGAACGTTACGTCTTTCACACGTGCGTGCAAGGTGAGACAGAAACCTTCGATACTTATCTCAGTAAAGTACGGAAATTTGCAAGAACATGCAGCTATGGTGACTTAGAGAATGAATTAATAACTGATAGGCTAGTACTGGGAATTCGAGATAATGGGTTACGAAAACGATTACTACAGGATGATAAATTGACCCTAGATAAATGCATAGACATGTGCAGAGCAGCAGAAGCATCATCCTCAAAAGTAAAGTCGTTGTCTAAACATGCATCTCCAGACGAAGATGTGCAAGTCGTAAAGCCAAAACGCAAACAACTGCTTGCCAAAAATGATCAAAGTAGTAAGAAAAAGTGCAAATATTGTGGAAAAAATTGTGCTAAAGGAAAGTGTCCGGCTTTTGGACAAAAATGCAGGTCTTGTGGCAAATTTAATCATTTTGCTTCAGAATGCAAATCGCGTAAACATCACAAAGTGAAGTCAGAAAGACCACACGTGAGACATTTAAATTTGAGCTCATCGTCAGGAAGTGAAGAGGACGTTTTGATGTTGAATCAAAATCAAAAGGTGCAGACGAAAATTTTCGCAAACATGTTATTAACTAATCAAAACAAAACTGTGAGATTTCAATTAGACAGCGGAGCTACGGCAAATATTTTACCTAGGTTGTACGTGCCAGACGAGATAATGGAGAAAACTAACATTACGTTATCAATGTATGACAAATCAAAAATGAAAGCTTGTGGTACGTGCAAATTAGTTTTGAAAAATCCCAGGACAAGAAAACGATACGAGGTGCGGTTTATCGTAATTGAAAATGATACGGCTGTTCCGTTATAAGGATCTGAGGCAATTCAGAAAATGGATTTAATTAAGATACAATATCATAACATTTGTCCTGTCAGTGTTGATAAGAACTGTAAATTAACTATGGAAGAAATTGAAACGAGATATTCGTCGGTATTTGAGGGCGAAGGACGATTTCGGGGAAAACTACACTTGGAATTTGATGATACAGTGAAACCTGTGAAAATGCCACTCAGAAGGGTTCCGATTGCAATGAAAGAAAAACTTAAAAAAGAACTAATGAAACTTGAGAACAAGGGCAAAATAGCAAAAGTTAACACTCCAACAGACTGGATATCAAGTTTAGTAATTGTGAAGAAAAGATCAAATGCGCTTAGAATATGTATAGATCCAAAAATTTTGAACACTGCTTTGAAAAGAAATCATTTTCTGCTACCAGTGGTTGAAGATGTATTGTCTGAACTGAATTCTGCAAAAGTATTTTCAAAATGCGATGTTAAAAATGCTTTTCATCATGTGGAGCTAGATGAACAGTCAAGCTATTTGACAACATTTGAAACGCCATTTGGACGATATCGTTGGCTTGTTATGCCATTTGGTATTTCACCAGCACCAGAGTACTTTCAACAATACCTGGAAAGGAATTTGGAAGGGTTACCTGGTATAAAAGCGATCGCAGACGACATAATCATTTATGGAAAGGGTAAAACTTACGAAGAAGCATTGCGCGATCATGACAACAACGTAGTAAAACTACTAGAAAGATGCCAAGAGAGAAATATTAAGCTAAATAAAGAAAAATTTCAATTGCACAAAACCGAAATGTCGTTTGTAGGACATTTGCTGACAGACACAGGGGTGAAACCTGACCCGTCTAAAGTAGATGCAATTATGAACATGCCAAGACCCACAGACAAGAAAGCTGTACAACGTTTTTTAGGCCTCGTTAACTACTTAACGAAGTTCTTGGATAAGCTAAGTGAACTATGTGAGCCGTTAAGACAATTGACGCATAAAGATGCAGTATTTCAGTGGACAGAAGTCCATGATGAAGCGTTTGACACACTCAAACAGGCAGTGTGCGATGCTCCTGTACTACGATATTTTGACCCAGAGTCTGAAGTTACCCTTCAAACGGATTCCTCAGAAGCCGGTCTTGGTTGTGTACTCCTACAGAAAGGTCAGCCTGTAGCATATGCAAGCCGTAGTTTAACAAATGCAGAAAGGAATTATGCAATGATTGAAAAGGAACTATTAAGTATCCTGTACGGAATGACCAAATTTCATCAATTTACATATGGGAGAAAGGTTATTGTTGAAAATGACCATAAAGCATTGGAAATTATTAGCAAGAAAAGTTTGTACAAGGCACCAAAACGATTACAAAGAATGTTTCTAAAATTAGGAACATATGACTATGAGGTTCGTTATAAGAAAGGCAAACATATGTATATTGCGGATACACTATCAAGAGCATATCTGACCAAAGATAAAGCTACATCACTTGAAGAAGTATTACTTTCAGATTACGAGAAAGAAATCGAATCCACTAATATGTCATCTCAAAGACAAGCACGGATTAAACAAGCAACTGCTGAAGATTCGACTCTTCAGAAATTAATCGGATGCATAAAAAATGGTTGGGACGGTGTCCATCCTAACGAGGTTTCTCCATACTTTGCAGTGAGAGATGAATTATCAGAGGATAATGGTATCATATTTCGCGGAGATAGATGTGTCATACCTAAAAGTATGCGGTCAGAAATTCTAGGTCAAATTCATTCACATATTGGAGTTGAAGGATGTTTGAAAAGAGCAAGATCATGTGTGTACTGGCCAAATATGACATCGCAAATAAAAGATTACATCACTAAATGTGACACTTGCCAATCTTTAGAAAGAAAACAAACCAAAGAACCATTGATCAATCATGATATACCGGATAGGCCATGGGTTAAAGTTGGAACTGATGTCTTTATGTTTGACGGAAAAGATTATTTGGTCACTGTTGACTATTTTAGTAATTTCTTTGAAATTGACAGGCTATACGAATCGAACTCGAAAGAAATCATTGGCAAACTGAAACAACATTTTGCTAGACATGGAATTCCAGAATTTCTTGTCTCCGATCAAGCAAGCGTATTTAAATCTGAGAAATTCAAATCGTTTGAAAGAAAATGGGACTTTAATCATATATTTTCATCAGCTAGATATCCGCAGTCCAACGGAAAGGCGGAAAACGCAGTAAAAACGGCGAAACGTATCATGAAAAAGGCAAAGCATTCTCACACGGACCCAATGCTAGCGATATTGAACTTCCGGAACACACCCCAGCAATCAACAAATTACAGTCCAGCTCAGCAACTCATGAACAGGAAAACTAGAACATTGCTTCCGGAAAGATCTTTGAATTTTAAACCGAGTATACCATTGAATATTAAAGAGAATCTTGACAGAAGTAAGCAAAGGCAAAAGCGTTATTACGACAGAAATGCGAAGTCGTTAGGTCGTTTAAGAACCGGGGAAACTGTGAGAATACAGCCCCAGGAACGAAACAAAACCTGGGAAAAGGGCATTGTTGTAAGAAAGCCACAAACACGTTCTTATGATATAAGAAAGGAGGATGGTACGGTGATAAATCGAAATCGACGTCAGCTTCGGAAAACTTACGAACATTTCAATGAAAAGGAAAGGGAAGAAACTGTCGATTTACCTACGAATGCTAGTAGTAATGAGTTACCTCCCGTTGAACCTCCCGTTAAATCAACTGGTGGACAATCCGAAATTAAAACCAGATCAGGTCGAGTTATTCGAATGCCAGTGAAATACAAGGACTATGTAACATAATATGCAAATTGTAGCAATTGTGAGACTGTGTATAAATGTACTTTATTAACAGTAACAGCTTATTTTTCCGACAGTTGTGATTTTGAGGTCATGATTTGTTAATTTTTTTAAGTATTTCTTAGTCATCATTTTTTTAATGATTTAGTATTCTGAACTGAATAACATTGGAAATATCTTCTTATTTTTGTAAAAGAGAAAAGATGTGACAGTATTTGATTAACATACTAAGTACAGACTTATCCATGGTGCTTTAGTTATAATGTTAACTGTGCATGCTTAGTAAATATACGTAGTCTGCTCTATGTATTAGCTCTGTATGAATGAGTTGTGACTAGCTTAATAAAATATATAAACGCACGTTTGTGTTCTTACCTGCACCAAGAAACAAAATGAAAACAAATATATAGCAAAGGTATATCTAATGTTGAAAAATGATTTAGAACAATTTCCTAATAAGAAAAACTGGTGTTCGTTGGTAAGAGATTTATTATGTAACCTTGGCCTTAATGATGCATGGTTTTATCAAAATGTCGGAAACGCAAATGTATTTCTTAGTTAAGTTAAACAAAGAATTAAAATTCAAATTATTCAAAATTGGACTGGTAGACTAAATTATTCATCTAGAGCTTTATTTTACAGATGTATTGCACAATTTCAACTACAGCCATATTTAAAATGTATAGGTATAAGAAAATTATGTACTGTATGACAAAACTGCGTTGCTCCTCGCATACATTATGTATTGAAACAGGAAGATGCGCAAGACCTGTCAATGTACCTGTAATTGAATACAAATGTGTTAGAAGATGAATTCCATTTTGTATTACAATGTAGAATGTACTCTTAATTAAGAACACAATATATTCCAATTTGTTACTGGAGATCTCCAAATATGTTTAAATTTATAGAATTAATGAATACTGAAAATCGATTGTTAATTAGAAAACTGAGAATATATATTTCAAGAGCATTCGTGATGCGCTCAGATATTTTATATGGAGCTGATTAGTATGTTATTGATGTTTATATCTGTCTATACTTTTGTTAAAGCTAGAATTGTAGTACTACTTGTATGTTTCTCTTATTATATCATTTTCCCAATTGACATGTTGGTCAATATATGTTAGTCATATGAATGTGTGATATTTCCTCTATGTCAGTCATATAAATGTGTGATACATCCTATATAATATAATTTCACAGCTCAAATATATGTATATCTAGATGTTATTTTACAAGCGAAACTGCTGTTATCTAATTGTACCTCCTCATATCTTGCCATTGATGGCAAGATCTGGCAATGAGGAAATACATTAGTAAACATACATCGTTAGACTATAGAGCAACTTACCGAGTGGCTAATCTTGTATTATACCCCTTAAGCTTTAAATCTATTCTTCATACAAAGTAGTTTATTAGAAAAATTGTCTTGACAATACACATTTAGATACAAATTTGTTCCATATTTTAGATAACTGCAGTTTATTATGTTAAGAATTTATATTGTATATCAATATATTGTTAAAGCTATAGTGCGGTGGATGTTACAAGTTGAGCGATAAGACCATAGCAATTATCTCCCGTGCACAATAAATGCTTTGACAACAATGGTGTATAGGCAGTATATAAAATGTATGTAAAATTCACACTTTCGTTATCAACATGATTTAATTCAATATTCAATTGAGAAAGATTTTAATCTATCAAATTATCTTATTTACTAGTGATAGATCCAATCTAATATGTAAAGTCAGTACAATTTGATTTTTGTCACACGTAAAACGTATGTTGCATATATACTTTTGACACATAAGACGAAAATGTGAATTACTATAAGCAGGTAAATCATTTAATAAATACATTGTATATGTTTTCATTTCCTATGTAAAATGTGCTATTGCAATGCATGTATGAGATCATGTCAGTTTTGCACGTTTGCCATATTATATGTTTTGCATATTGTACCACATGGGTCTATGACCTTCTGGGAAAAGATAAATAAACTTGTTGTTAAACTTGTTCATGATAGCACACCCCGTCATGTCTTGTCTCATATATGATCTCAAGTCAAGTCTGATCAAATAGCTCTCATGCCTATGGAAGCTTGAATTGACCCCCTAGATGCCGTGTTCGTGATTACTCGTGTGTCGTCATGTCGACTTATATTTACGCGACATGACGTCTTCTATCATTGTTTGGTGAGATAATAAAGACGTATGGGCAACGTTTGTTTCAAGGTATGTCGACATGTTTTTTTGTCAGTAATGGAGTTAATGGGAATCAATAATAGCTATGTCAACGTATTTTATCTCGACAAGCCTTGTTATATCTGCTTCTTGGAGAATATCACCGCGTATTAACATCATGGGCACTGTCGGAAAGACCCAATTAATATTCGGAAAGTAAACTCCTCCCACCAAACCAAAATCTTTGAATGGTTCATCCTTTGAAGAGCATATTGGTAGACACTTTGAAAGGTCATTTGTGTTTAAATATAAAATTTGGTATATGTCCGTTTCTGCAGTGCATTTTGTATATGCGTTTTTATCTAACTAGCAGTTATACCAAATAAATTATGTCACAGGGTGAAAAAATGTGCAGCCTGACCGGGACTCAAACCCAGGACCCTCGGAATACCGTACCGCAGCTCTACCGACTGAGCTATCCGGCCGCTTACACATCATCGCCCCCAAATAGTGAACAGTTCCGAACCGTGACAGTTATTCTAGTCAGTGCTTGGTTAGCAACCATATACTAGTATTTTATATACGTTTATACATACACTTATCAAGACGTTTGGACACCTTTAAAATGATATTTCAGTTTGCAGCCAAATGTATTATTCTGAGTTATAGTATTGTACAAATGAAATTAAAAGGAAACTAAAAAACACGTCAGTCATTACTCGATGGGCGGGATTTAGTTTCCGGATAATAATTATGACGTTCAAATGGTCCCCGTCCTGTTTTATAATAGACATAAGTTATGTCGACATGGTCTGATACAGATGTTGTACAGATTCTATGTTTCTCCATCAAAACCATGATACAGCACGCCATGTCGCACTAATATATATCAACATGACCACATATAAATTATCACGGACCACGGCATCTCGGGGGGTCAATTCAAGCTTCCATACATGCCCATGTGTACACATGATGCCACCCTGAGTCTAGTCACGTACAAGATAACATGTAAGGATTGTCAATCACATATTCATTGAATATACGATGTATTGCATGACCATGTAGTACCCGTGACAGCCATAGTTACTCCCCTTTTTTAATTGAACGCCTCGAAACAGACATGTAAAAACAAGCGACAATCAACGGTTGGCCAGGTTGAGGTTAAAATTAATTCGTGCAAGATCGACAGGTAATAAATTCTTTTATCTTTAACATTTAGATTCTAAATGCAATAATATTCTAACTTTTTCACATTTTTTTTAAAAGTTTAAACTTTTAATGAATGTGATGTAAGTAAAAAATATGATAAACAAGATCAACAAGGAAGAACATTTTGCTAAATATAGAATCTTGATCTTCAGTGTATTATATTTCAAACATATATTGGTAAATTCACACAAGCATGATTAAACGTTGATTTGTACATTTTAGTTGACATGCTGCGGTGATTTATATACTGCGTACATTTATCGTTTCTAACATAAAAAACTGTTGCTATTTCTAACTGAAATCAATGAGAAAGTTGATGTATATAATGACTACATCCAGGTGACATTATTCCTGAAGTGAACGTTATCTTGTGTATACAGTAGATCTACACTTTGTTAATGTAAAATTATCAGAGCCTTTAACTTGATTTTTATAAAGCTCTAGGTACTACGTTTTTTACAATATACCGGCCACATGTGAATGTGATTGCAATCGACGTTCTTTACAAAAGTGAAGAAAAAAATGAAACCGAAATTAAATTTTCTTCCGTTGATATATTTCTTAAATTTAAAACAAACAGCTAGAACTTATCTCTTATCAAAGTTATAATAATAATAGATAATACTGACGATTTTTAGCTCACCTGTCACAAAGTGACAGGGTGAGCTTTTGTGATCGCTTTTCGTCCGGCGTCCGTCCGTCCGTAAACTTTTACTTTAAATGACATCTCCTCATAAACTACTAAGCCAATTTCATCCAAACTTCACAGAAATGTTCCTTTGGTGGTCACCTTTAAATTTTGTTCAAAGAATTTAATTCCATGCAGAACTCTGGTTACCATGGCAACCGAAAGAAAAAACTTTAAATATCTTCTTTTAAAAAACCCAAAGAGCTAGAGCTTAGATATTTGGCATGAAACATCTTCTAGTGAGTGTCTACCAAGTTTGTTCAAATAAAAGCCCTAGGGTCAGAATTGGCCCCGCCCCAGGGGGTCATTGATTTTCCCTATATGCATATAGTAAAAACTTAAAAAATCTTCTTTTAAAGAACTCAAAGAGCTAGAGCTAAGATATTTAGCATGAAACATCTTTTAATGAGTGTCTACCAAGTTTGTTCAAATGAAAGCCCTAGGGTCAGAATTGGCCCCGCCCCAGGGGGTCATTGATTTTCCCTATATGCATATACATTGTAGTAAAAACTTAAAAAATCTTCTTTTAAAGAACCCAAAGAGCTAGAGCTAAGATATTTAGCATGAAACATCTTCTAATGAGTGTCTACCAAGTTTGTTCAAATGAAAGCCCTAGGGTCAGAATTGGCCCCGCCCCATGGGGTCATTGATTTTCCCTATATGCATATAGTAAAAACTTAAAAATCTTCTTTTAAAGAACTCAAAGAGCTAGAGCTAAGATATTTAGCATGAAACATGTTCTAATGGGTGTCTACAAAGTTTGTTCAAATAAAAGCCCTGGGGTCAAAACTGGCCCCGCCCCGGGGGTCATTGATTTTCCTTATATGTGTATAGCAAAAGCTTAAAAAATCTTCTTTGAAAAAACCCAAATAGCTAGAGTTTAGATATTAAGCATGAAACATCTTCTAGTAAGTGCCTACAAAGTTTGTTCAAATAAAAGCACTAGGGTCAAAACTGGCCCCGCCCCAGAGGTGTCATTGTTTTTAATTATATATGTATAGTAAAAACTTAAAAAAAATCTTCTTTTAAAAAACCCAAGGAGCTAGAGGTAAGATGTTTAACATGAAACATCGTCTTTTGGGTGTCTACCAAGTTTGTTCAAATAAAAGCCCTTGGGTTAAAATTGGCTGTAGTAAAAACTTAACATCATGAAACATCTTCTAATGGGTGTCTTCCAAGTTTGTTCAAATAAAAGCCTATATACAGGTGAGCCTCTTGTTAATGTTTATCACCTGATAATAGCGGCATTCTATTGATTACATACGTTTTAATCTTGTTTTGATTGATTTATAAAATACTTTCGTGATTTACTACTTAAGATTCTAGCTGCCCCACGTGCATAATTTCAGACATGCTAAGATCTTGAGCCGTACCTTAACTAATCAGACAGCTTCCTTATTTTAAAGAGTTTTACTTTCCTGGGTGTCTTTGACCCACATGGGTATGCAAGCAAAGTAAGCGACCTTGTAACCGTTAAAGTTCCTGTATGTTGTAATTAAGGTTGTTAAATGTTATATATGTATATAATTATGCTTCTAAAACAATTTTCAAGCATCGAAGAAAATGTAAAATATGTACTGCAAATATTTCAATTTGTGCACATTATAATTATATGTAATCATTAAAATATATGCATTAATTTCTTATTGCAAAATTTGACTTAGACTTTGTAAAGATTTTCTAATTACCGCCATTTATTAACATGAAAATGTAAATTCGTTAATATCTTTACAAATAAAGTTTTTTGGAACTTGAAATATTGATAAATCTTCATTTTGAGCATTATATTTATGATATAAAACCATAAGAAAATTGTGTTACAGGATCTTTAAACGGTTATATATTTTGTCCGGGTTCCAATTTTTAAATATATTCATACGATTTCAAATAGAGAAAATAAGAATCCCTAAAGAAAGCCCAACACGTCACAATTAAAAATGTTGCAGGCTCGGTTTGATTGAGCCTGTTCATGGATGGTACTATCAAGCCCCCTAGCACCGGCTTAAGCAGAATTCAACATTTAATATGAACTAATACAATTTTGAAACATCCGCAGATGTGTTCATATGGCGGTTATCAAAGACAAGTCAAAACGTTGCGTTTACATATTATGTTATTATTTGTCCTTAACCAGTGTGGGTTTTAATTCCTACATGATCGTTTGAATAAGTTATCTGGATAGCTCACGGAAAGCCTTACGGTCTTTATCATATACTTATGCATATATTTTTACATCTTTCCTGCTGTATTACATGCACAAATACACCACAATTTCGTGGGTTTTACTAGCACAACGAATCACAATTGGCGCTTACACGCGCATTAAAAAATAGCCTAGTAAAACCCACTCTTGTCAAAGACAGGATCAAGATGCTCCTATAACTTAATTTAGCTTGAAAGTTGACATTTAACCTTTTTAGCTCACCTTTCACAAAGTGACATGGTGAGCTTTTGTGATCGCTTTTCGTCCGGCGTCCGTCCGTCTGTCCGTAAACTTTTACTTTAAACGACATCTCATAAACCACTAAGCCAACTTCATCCAAACTTCACAGGAATGTTCATTTGGTAGTCAACTTAAAAATTTATTCAAAGAATTTAATTCCAAGCAGAACTGGTTGCCATGGCAACCGAAAGAAAAAAACTTAAAATATCTTCTTTTTAGAAAACCGCAAGAGCTAGAGCTTAAATATTTGGCATGAAACATAACCTAGTCAGTTTCTAATAAGTGTGGTCAAATAAATGCCCTGGGGTCAAAATTGGCCCCTACTGGGGGGTCATTGATTTTCCTTATTTGTATATAGTAAAAACTTAAAAAATCTTCTTTTAAAATCCCAAATAACTAGAACCTAGATATTAAGCATGAGACATCTTCTAGTGGGTGTCTACCAAGTTTGTTCAAATAAATGCCCTGGGATCAAAATTGGCCCCGCTCCGGGTGGGGGGGGGGTGGGGGTCATTGTTTTTTTCCTTTATTTATATAGTAAAAACTTAAAAATCTTCTTATAAGAACCCCAAATAGTTACAGCTTAGATATTTATCATGAAACATCTTCCACCAAGTTTGTTCAAATAAAAGCCCCTGGGTTAAAATTGGCATTAGCCAAGGGGCCTATGTACAGGTGAGCGATTTCAGGGCCATCATGGCCCTCTTGTTGAAACATTTTCATCTTATTTCAGAAATTGCACAATCAACACAACAACAAATGGGATTTGCACATTTTGTATCGGGCTGGAGATGGTTTATTTTAATATTTGTATTTGATATGTTATCATCCGCAGTTGCACTGCCAAAATTGATACTAATTTCCATGGACGGATTCAGATATGATTATTTAAACTTGATACCAGAGGAAGAAACCGAACATTTTCAGTTTATGATAAAAAACGGTGTTAAAGCTAAATATGTCATGAACGTTTTTCCTTCGGTCACTTACGCAAACCATTACTCAATATTAACTGGATTGTACCCTGAAAGCCACGGAATTGTCCATAATTTATTCTATGACTCTATATGGAACGAATATTTTGCATTAACCAACAGGCGGGACAACGTTGATCCGTTTTGGTATGACGTCGGTGCTGAGCCAATTTATGTTACAAATCAAAATGCAGGTGGTTTTTCAGGTTCAATCGTCTGGCCATGCGGGACTGGTGAAGTGAAGGGCGTTAAACCAAACAAAATAATTCCTAATGCTTACTGGTTCACGGAAATGAATAGCACATATCGCGTGGACACTCTTATCAGTTGGTTTACAGATCCACACCAACCAATTAATTTAGGTCTTCTATACTTCCCTGAACCTGATGAAATCGCTCATGCAACTGGTGCAGGTTCTGAAAATGTGAG